GTGCCATGGATGCAGTCTGGCTGTGTCACTGCTCCCCCAGCTGGCTGTTATTTCTGTGCTTCTTTCCCAGGTGATCCATGACTTCTTGTTCTCCTTGAAAGAAAGTCCTGAAAAGTTCCAGATTGAGGCCAACTTCCCTCGCCGTGTCCTGCCCTGCCTCCCTACAGAGGAGTGGCCCAACCCACCCACGCTGCAGGAGGCCGGACTCAGCCACACGGAAGTCCTCTTTGTGCAGGACCTCACGGACGATTGACACTTTTCCAGAAGACACAAAATGGAAAGAGAAATTCATATTATTATAATATACAATATTTTTTTTAAGACTGCGTACAAACGAGGGATCAGAGACCACATCGCCTGTGCCAGCTGTGCTGTGTGTGTGCGCTGGCGAGAGGAAGTGTGTGCACGTCCTCACACACCCATGTACACAGCCATCCCCTACACTTGGAGGGCAGAGAGGGAGGGGAGCTGGTGTTGCCCCTCCGCCCTCCCTGGAGAGGAACAGGAATGGCAGCTCTCAGTAATTATTGCTTTTATTGACGACGATAATAATAAAACCCCAACAACCTGACACCTTGTGAAGATTTGATACTCTGCTGCTCTTGACAGCCAGAAGACCGGGCACCTGAATGTGCTGGGAGTGGGGTGGGAGGGAAGGGCTGGACAGAATCTCTTCAGCTTCCCTCTGTGTATAAATATCTTTCTTTTAATATTTCTCTTGCTTTGTAATGACCAAAGGAGAATGGGGTTGACTATAGTATTAACTTTTTGATAAAGAGCTGGTTCAATTCTTACCTGTGTGGGGTCTTGCCCAGGGTTCTTAGCCTGCGTAGTGTAATAAACTCTGCCTCTAGCATGTCTCTGCCAATGCTTTCTGCCTGTGCCCCCTGCCACAACGGAGCACCGGGGAGGGGGTTCCAGCTGCTCTGGCTCTACAGTAAGTTACTCCTCACAGCATTGTGTGTACACTTAACTTCTGGCCTTGAGTTGGTGGTTGTGCACACCGTGGGGGAAGGCAGTGCTGGGGTTCCTGCTGTGCTGCCTGCCTGTGGCATGAACTCGGGGGTGTGGCGGGGTAGGAAGGAGATGGCCCTTCCTTTGCCCAAAGGCCTGGGTCAGCCCTCCCACACCAAGTTAGAGATGGGAAAAAAAGATGTGTAAGGTGCAGTGGGGAGAAGGGTGGGTGTAAGCCTCTGTTTCCCCCCCCAGAGGCCTGGTCACGGCTGCAGCGTGGTGCTATAAGCTCCTGCCCAACGGGAGAGCGGTAGGAGCCTGTTCCTTCCCTACCCCTACCTGCTAGTCGCCTGTTTTGGGCTGGTAACTGCGCTCACTTGCCTGCATAAAGCACAGAAGGGAGCAGGGAGCTCGCTCTCCACCCCCACCATTTCTGAAGCCTGCGAGCTGTACTAAACCAGCCTCCTTTCCTGGTGGCTCCAGGGCCTGGCGTGGCTTTTTCAACAGGGAGAAGAGATCGTTTTCCTCCCAAAGGAAGAGCTGTTCCCTTTCTGGCCGTGGAGCCTTCTGGAGCAGCATGGTTTGGGGAGTAGCAACCTTGCCCTAAGCCTTGGGGAGCCAGAGCTTCTGCCCTCTGCCGCGCATAGGGTGGATGTGCCTGTCCTGCTCAGCGTGAAGGGCCCGGCCTGGGGCCGTTGAGGTCCTCTGGGGCCAGCCGGGCTGGGCTGGTTTCCCACCCAGCCAGGGGAGCGCAGGGATCACCCCTTCCCTGGCTGGGCGTGGGCAGGCTGGAAGCTTGGGCTGTGGGAGAGGTTGCAGCTGCCTCCCTGGTGTGGCTGGAGCCACCCAGAAAGATGCGCTGTGCCGGGGTGGCATCCAGGGCTTTCCGTCTTGGTGCAAGCTGTGCAGGATCTGCGGGTGGGAGCGAGGGGTGTCCGTGGTGCTGCTGGATCACAGACCCCTCTGTGGCAGAGGACCCAGCCTGCTCTTGCTTCCACCCTCGGGCTCTCCTCCGAGCACCCCCTCCGGGGCTCTTCCGGCTGCTGCACCCTCCCGCCACCTGCCCGGTGATGGCCTGGGGACCCCCCATCCCTGACCGGAGTGTTAGCCTGGCCTCAGCCCCCCGGGGGACCCAGCGGGGCCACCCCGGCCCCCTTCGAGCCCCTGCCTGCCCGCGCCGTGACAAGAGCTGGGGCACAGCGTGTTGGTATACATCATACATTTATTAGTGAATATCCCTCTCAAAATCAGCCACAACATTAAAAAAAATAATGATTGCACTACTTGGTCAAGCAGAACTAGCAACTTTCATTTTAAAAAAAGTACAAATCTGTTAAAAATTTCAATCAGTATAATACACATATATATAATACAACATACTAGTTATGTTAAATGCTACAAAACCAATATGATTCCAATGGAATGGAAAAAAAACAAACACTTTTAGAGCTTTAAGAACCTTTTTTTTCTATATATTAGCCTTTTTTCAAAAGTACAAATCTGTTAAAAATTTCAATCAGTATAATACACATATATATAATACAACATACTAGTTATGTTAAATGCTACAAAACCAATATGATTCCAATGGAATGGAAAAAAAACAAACACTTTTAGAGCTTTAAGAACCTTTTTTTTCTATATATTAGCCTTTTTTCAAATACATACATGGGAAAAATGAGGTAACTGTAAAATGTGCAAGTAACAGAGCAAAAAAAATTATATATATATATTTATATATATATATATATATAAAAACTTTCTAACACAGAACACACGTCCTAGCACCTTCCGGGGAGCCGCGGGGGCCGCGGGAGTCCCACCGGAGGGCCCGGGGACTGGTATAATAGAACAGTAAACAGTCCACTATCCCACCACAGGAAATCATTGGTAAACAGTGGGA